GTTGGCAGATGAGATGCGATGATCACTTGGTAAGTTCAAGGGATAGGATTTGTTCCGACGAAGACAAACTTGCACCTTATGTGCCGATGGAAGATGCAGTGACGATATTTATTGCAGATAGCGTGACGCCTTCGTATGAATCCATATCTACAGCTGCTCAGCGGACGAAAGATACCACAATATGCCTATGCCTTTTGCGGCTCAATGCGCGCATACATATCAGTGTGGCTTTACACTGCAAGGGGACCTGGGAGACTCACTGCGCGTTAGCGTTGGAAGGTTGACGGAAGAACGCAAGAAGGGGCGGTGCGGCACGTCTTAGGGGTCGAGGCATCTCGCCCAATGAGCCGCAAGCGGTTTAGCCTAACCCCAGATTAGGCCGATGTCCCCCCATGTCAGCCCATGACCTCCCCACCTGCCTCTTCAGCCACCTCGTCCAATGTACCGCATCCGTCTCATCCATATGCATCTCGCAAAAACCAAGTCTAGATCATGGTCAATGTAGCCGGCCGTTCGAAAGGATGCTCAACCTGCCGCAGGCGCCGTATCAAGTGCGGTAAGCGCCATCGTCGTGCACATTAGACCTCAGGCTGACCCTACTAAAGATGAGACTCGCCCAACATGTCAGAGATGCGAAAAGGCTGGCTTCAAATGCGATGGTCCACAGTCGATCGTCTTTGTGCAAGGCAAAATCGTCAAGTCTAGGAGGTCACAGAAGTTGAAGAGCAAGGCGGCGGACCCGCCTGTAACGACTGTCTGGAAGAGGCAAGAAGTAGAAGAGTCTACCTCGGAATCTCCTGAACACCGCTTCGACCTCCCTGAAATTAGGCCTAAATTCAACGACAAAGAAGTTTGCATATGTTATGCACGCCGCCATCTTCTACCCAACGGTCCCATAGACCTAGGGTTACAGGAGCTTCAGCCCTCAGACATTGTCACGGATAACTACGCCGCAAGAGGAGCAAGCAGCCCATTATTTGTTCAAGCCGCACTCAGCTTTGCAACCCTCTTCTTCGGCGCGCAGCATCACCAGAGCGGGATCCTCGCCGAAGGTTATGCCATACATGGTGTAGCTCTCAAGCGGCTGAATCAGGCTTTGAGCCAGCCAGAACGCCGTATGCATGACGACGTGATCGTTTCCGTCATTCTATTGGCTATGCTTGAACTTTTCATGCCCACTGGACCAAGCAATTGGCTCAAGCACATGCTTGGAATGGAGCAGCTCCTAGCATTACGTGACCCAGCATCCCTGGTTCACGCGTCATTTCGGACACTTGAGCTGTACAAAGGTGTGCGGCATATGATACTGATAGCATCATTGAGGAACAGAACGCCATCAATCTTTGCGCGACCACAGTGGAAAGCTGTACTGAGAACAGCGCTCTCGCTGGAAACTCCAGATGAACAAGACTTGCATGACGTGCTGGCAGATTGTTCGGTGCTAATAGCTGCGAGTGATGAGCTCTTCAAGCTTCAGCATACGTCTGGCTTAAGCTATATTCAACGGCGACAGGAAATGCAATGCAAGGCAGATGGGACCTTAGTCTTTCTTCGAGCGTGGAAACGACGATGGGATAGCAATGAGGAGAACGTCCATATCGAAGAAGAGTGTCTTGATCCGACCAGTACCCAGATTTCGCCACGCATTATATACCGGTTCATGAGCGACTCTGTTGCACGGATGCTGATGTTGTACAACACCGCATTGATCTACACCCTCCGTGTCATGGCGACTTTAGGAAGCAAAACCAACGGCACACAAGACATTCCGAGCGATCACATACAGGGCGGCACAGGCGCGGATGTTGTGACCGAGAGTTCTTACTATCCTGCCATCCGTGCAGCAGGGCTCAATATTGCCCGCTGCATCACTGACTATCTGCAACACAAACGTGCGCGAGGAGAAACAGACTTTGTCTCACCCATGGTACAGTGGGCTGTGATCACCGCTGGGCAGGCATTAGGCGGCGAGGAGTCTCCGGATGGCAAATGGATGGTCAGCCTGCTGAAAGGAGACGCTATGTATACGATTGCGAAGAGAGCTTGGGAAGTTTGAAGGTACTCATAGGTAACTGGCAACGTGTAAGTTGAGAAACCGAGAGTTGCGCCGCTTTGTCGCAGCTGGCCCAGCGTTCACTAATATGATGCAGTTCCTGTGCAGTCGAAGTACGAAGTCACTGTCAAAAGGTCTGATCATGAATGCGTTATCGATTCTTCGTCATCAACACGTTCGAAACCTGTGTTGGCAGTCCACTTTACAGTGCAGCTACTCTCGCAGCCCATTCTCCTACCTCCCAACAATCTTCTTCTCAAGATACCGCGCAGGTATGTACACCAGGGCAGTCACAACGAATGTGAACTCATTCGCGATATCACCACCATCAGCTCCGATGAGCCCACCTAGCGGACCGACATACCACGTTTCGACCATGCCAAGTATCCACGCGACGATCCCGATGGCGAAGGCGGTGCCAGCAGCGATACCTAGCGGCAGACGACTGGGATCGTTCCATGCATCCAGATCGTAGTTGTCAAAGTTCATGCGGCGGAAAATTACGTGCTCGCTGCAGAGAATGACAAAGTACTGGGTAGTCCAATAGCCGAGCAGACTGAGGAAGTTCTGCAGATAGACACTCAGTTGCTCACGGCCACCAATAGCGAGACCAAGGATGGCGGCGAAACAGACCAGAATCCAGATGAAGCGGGGAACGCGTGCAAAAGGACGGGAAAATTGCTGGCAAGAAATGGCGGCGCTGTAGATGGATATAACGTTTACGTTGATGCCGGAAAGGACCAGAAGCGTGAGGATCAGCTTTGCGAAACCGCGTGGGTAAAGCATGGTTTGGATGAGAAAGCCCAGGCCGTCGTTGTCGTACACTTCTTGCCAGTCTGGTCGGTTGTTCATGCCGAATGATACGACGCAGCCCGCCAGCATACCGATGGAAGTAGGAATAGCGATACCGAAGGTGGTCATGAGGAAGACCTTCCAGCGGGAGACGTTAACGGGGTAGTGGACGTAGTAGTCGGATGCCATGGTCTGCCACGATGCAGAACTACCGTAGACAATAGCAATCAAGCTCAAAACCTGTCCACTGAGGTCCGCTCCCTTTAGCTTGGGCGTATTGCTGTTATCGGTATACTTGCCCGTCTCGGCGAAGAAGATGATGAAGATGATGAAAAAGACGAACCACGCGTAGCGCTCGTAGACCAGAATAGCTCGCAGACCGACAAACGAGATAAGCGTAGCGACGACAGCCAGGATGACGATACCGACGATCAGCGAGATATGGCCATCCGCTACAGCAGTCAGCGCCAAACCACCCGTGATGCAAGCCACAGACGCCCAGCCAATCTGCACAATAGTATTAAGAGCAGCAATAACCTTATTAGGCCACCACCCAAACGCATATCTTGACATGGAAATCTGCCTCAGCCCAGTCGGCGCACCGAAAGTGGCAGCGAACCCTGTCGCCGCGCCACCAAGGATAGACGCGAAGATGGTGATGACGATACTTTGACGAAGCGCTGCAAGCACAAAACAATCAGTCAAGCTGTTGCAAGTGCACAGGGAAAGCAGTGGTCTTACTCAAACCAAATTCGTGCCCGAGGAACCCTGTCGCGAAACAGGACGTGTTCATTGTGCCCGAGGCCCAGAGGAAGAACATGTTGAGTTGGTGGTGCCATGGCACGTCGCCCTTGTCTTCTGGCAGTTTGCGACTGATGGCTTCGGATTCAATGCCTGCAGAGGTAGAGGTACGAAGTCAGTATATGTCTCATATGCACTTCGTACAGTCAGAACTTACCTAGTTTCGCATCCAATCGCTCTTCAAACCGGCGCAGTTTGGCGAGGATCCCGGTTTCGCGGGTGACGGCTGTCGCAGCGCCGACTCCCCTGCCGCTGTCTGTCGAGAGACTGGCTTCGTCCTGGGCTTTTTCCGCTGACAACATTATGGGCAGCGTTGATCGTGACGATTACTCGGAAAGAAATGTGACTAGAAAGGGTTGGACAAGACCAACCCAGGGTCAGACCGGGCGACACATGGTCGTTCTATAGTAAACTACCCCACCGCGCACACTCGGCTCCCAGCCGCGTCATGAAAAGCCGTTTTGACGCCGATGGCAGGGTGCGAAGAAAAACGATTGCCGTATGCCGCCTAGCCTGTGTGCTTGCGAAGAACTAGTAGCTCCACTCTTATCTTTGACAAGCACTTCTGGGCAAAGCTTAGCCTGTCGGCAATCGTGGATTACTCCCTCGGTAAGGAGCGTTGCGTGTGAGCCCTGCATATGGCTTGATTCTTATCAGGAGTTGGTACGCTGATCAGGTGCGACTTCGGTTCGTGGCTGACTAGCGGGATGATTTCAGGCTTTCGAGCCGTTCACAGAGCGGCTGGATGATTTGCATTCTCGGAGCAGGCCGATGCGTACCTAGGTAAGCACACTATCCTACAGGCCACGTGCGAAGCTGCATTCCATCACGCGACCATTTCGCAGTCCGTGAAACATTATTGCCATTTGCATGAAGCAAGGCAGAGGGCATTCATTTGGCCCTCCAGCAGAAGGAAGCTATCAACTATGCCAGCTCTCCTAGTGTACATACTATACAATGTATTGACCCGTTCAGATCATGGTTAGGCATAAGTCATGCATCGGATGCAAATGTATTCATGGTTCCAGGAACTGTCCGCTACACCGCTTTTGCGCGTGCTGATTGCAAGGTACCGCTCTTTCTGAGCAAGAAACCGGCGGCCTTGCTGGTTAAGGGGGTGACAGTTCCACGCTCGGGTTGTGCCTTCTTTGCTCCCCTCGATTGCTTCTGCTTCATCTGTTCAAGCCTAGCCGGTATACCTGAACCCAGACCACGCTCCCATAGAGCATAGCTGATGACCTTGTCTTGACCAGTCTTGCTGCGCTTCTCAACCTTGGTAGGCTTGACGCGACGCAATTCGACGTTGCCCAGATTAATCAAATCGCCCAGGTCGGCCCTCCTCTTGGCGTCGGCATCAGATGTGGCCTGCTGCTTCGCTCGCTGACGTGCCTTCTGCCCTTCTACATGCATAGCGCTGAAGAGACTGGTAGGCTGGGGTTTGGCGGCCTCTAATACATGATTGTATAGATCGCCTAGGGTGTTCGCGGAAGAGAGGTGTGGATCGGAGATGCGGCAGCCGGTAAGTTGGTAAAGGCGTTTGTAAAGCTACATAAGTCAGCAAAGGTAAAATAAAAAGGGTCGATACACGTACAGCGAACTTGACGTTGATGTCAGTGACGGGAACGTGCCGCCATTTCGTCTCTTCGGGCTTGATAGCAGACGAATCTCTGCTGCTCTGCTGAACTGAGGTTTTTAGAGCCGCAAAGTCAGCCGCCAAACGCTTCGCTCTCTCTTCGAGGATAGCATGTCGCGACTCGCTCGCTGCAGCTGGAGCGATTTGGTTAACGGGCTCCGGGTCGGCTGCATGGTCAACAAGCTCGGTTTGGGGTACGTCTTGAGCAACTTGAGGTGGCGTAGTTTCTTGAACGACCACTTCCTCAACAATTGCCTCCTTGACGGGCGCTTCAACTGGCTTGGCGCGAGGGACGGGGCGGTTCGACATGAAGTCAAACGGCTTGTTCTCGCCATCCATCTTGACCACTGCTGCTTTCTTGTGTGCTGGTGTGTCGGGGTCCATGGTCTGTACTTGCTCCTGTGCAAGGCCGGCATCCTCAAGTTCCTCAACGACCTCTTCAACGAGCAGCTCGTCCGATACCTCTGGCTCAGCCTCCCAAGCGGGTGCCGTTTGCATCGTCTCCAAGAGATCTTCCAAGCTCTTGTGCTGGGGGAAGGCAAGAGCAAGCTCACCGCTTTCTGTCTTGACTAACTTGATGTCCTTGACCCAGCGTGGCCGATCGTAAACACCTCGGTTGGCAAACTTGGATAGGTCCATATCTAAACCAGCCTGCTTCAGGGCATAAATCTCGGCGACAGCTTGTGTGAAACTGGCACGCATATCGGTAATCCGGGTAGCTTTGGCGTGGAGGCCAAAGTTGTAGTCGGTATATGGGCGCTTGGTCTTCTCGTGTACAGTTTGCGCCATAAGCAGGTTCTCGTCCTTCAAAGTGTACGGAGTGCCCGTGAGCTCTTCGATCTCATTGGCCATGTCCAGTGTCAGTGGCGTGTACGTCCGTAGCGTAAGTTTCTCAAATTCCTTAGCCAAGTCCTTTTCGACCTTTTCCTGCAGCCATTCCTCGCCACCGACCCGATGCAGGCCGCGTAGATACTTCGCAGGCTTGTATTGGGGGAATCTTGAGGCTTCCTCGTCAAGGACCTCTTCGTATTCGCCCTGGTCTTCAGGCGCTATGCGGACCGGTGATGTGGGATCATAAGGGTCGACGTGTGCACCAATAGGCTCCGAGTCGCCAAGGAGACGCTTCTGCCATCTTCGCACGAACTGCTGGTGCTTTCTCTTGTCCTGTTTGCCCGGTAGCAGGAAGGCTTGGGGTGCGGTTGTGGAGAAGGCGGCGGATGGGGTGCGGAGATGGGTGCAGGGCGACGGGGCGGGGCGGCAGGGCAATGGCGAGGCTCTTTGCCGTATGCAAGCGGAGAGGGGATGTGAGGGATCAATTGCCCGCGAGGGGCGCGGTATTCGGCGCATTGGGTTCGAGATGCGGGTGATGCACCTCTGCTGGAAATTCCTTCGACATGTCAACGAGCACGCCAAGCCGCCGGACATCAGCCAATCAGCGCCCTAGCAGCCCCGAGCACTGGAGAAGCCCATGGTTTGGGGACCATGCGTCGTCTGATCTCTGCATGCACTTCGATTTTTGATCTAGAGATTTTGGCATCAGGAAAGATACTATCATTTCGAAGTGCCTATTATGTATATCATGAAAACTTCTTTACTAGCCACGTAGAGCCCCTCTCGTCATACTCGGCTTTGGACACGAGCAACTCCTTCAACAAGTCGGGTTGGCTAGCGACGTTTGCTCCTCCTAGCCATGTGTGCTTGATCGGATCATCTGCCCTCGCCACGTTCAGCGCGTACTCGGCTGGTACTAGAGCCCTCAGCTCTGTCTGCATTCGTTCCATGAAGCCGGCAATCAACGAGTTTCCGCCCACCACTACAACATTCGCCAACAGGCCGATTCTTAGAGCTTCTGGCAGTGTACTCAGCGACTCCATGACGGCGCCAGGTATTCCAGCTTCCTGAATGCCAATATCGGAGGGGTTGAAGAGGAGCTCGGGCACGGCGAAGCGCTCATTGCCTAGAGGCAGCAGATCTTCTCTTGGTCCTTGTAGCGGTTGTAGCCCTCGGCGCATGCGTGATTTTGCAGGGTCGTGGGGTCGCGCATGCCCGTGTATAGCATTCTCGTAGTCTGGCAGCACATAGTCGACCACTATGCTCGAATCCACCTCTCGTTTGTCTCCCAGCCGTCCTTTCCAAGTGCGCTCCAGATCTTTGGCGAATTGCTGCGATGATGGCACGACGTACGAAACTGCTTCTTTGATCTCGTTGAGCAGGTATGTCTCCTCCATCATGTTGTAGTGCCGCAGCGAGGAGAGCTCTTTCAGGTAATTTGTGAGCAGCTTCCCACCTACTGTGAGCCGCCGCACAGCCGATTGTATGAGCTTGCCATTGTAGAGAGGGAGGACGGTCGTGTCTGAGTACGATGTGTCGATGATGAGGAGGCATTCTTGCGGTAGCGATGCCAACGAGGACGCGGTGGGAGGGTTGTAGGCATTGAGTGTCGCGCCAACGCATCGGTAGTAGGCCGCGAATTCGAACTGCTCGAAGATGATCTCGTCGCAGTTCTTCTGCAGCTCTTTCGGGCAGTTTGGCTTCTCTGTCAAGACCAGATTTGTGTCTTTCGGGTCACACTGCGTTCTGTCAGTTCTCACACCCTTCACGAGCTCGCGACTGTGCGTACCCACCCTCAACCCCTCCCCCACGGCGTCGCCCATGAACTCATGCTCCCATATCGCCTTCTCCGCCTCCCAGTTGACAATGAAGCCCTTTTCCACTGGACGGCGAAACGCCAGTTCTCCAAAGTCTTTGCACGAATCGAGCTCGGCGCCGACGTAGGTGCACTTGTCGCGTGTGCTGCGCGCGATGCAGTTGGGAATGACACTGCAGTCGTCGTAGGTAGGCTCCGAGGCTGGCGAGACTAGACCGGCTTTGATCGAATATGCGCCATTGTCCAGGACGAGCGTCTTGTTGGGCGCTGCAGCCGCCGACTTCTTAGACCCTTTGGGTGCCATCGTTGGTGTTTGTTGGTTTGCGCTGACGGAGCGATTCGCGACGCCCGAATTCCAACGCCTGTTCACGTGCGGCCCACCTAACCCTTGACCCTTGACATGCCGCCATCAACTTCTTTTCCCAAACCCGATGATAGGTACACTGTGCCCGGGACGGCAAGGCCTGACAAGCCCGTCATGACAGATGCAGAATGGCTGGTCCAGCCACCAGCACATGACTACCGTTGTGGGAGTGATCCGACTAATATAAGCAGGTTGGAAGTGCGGAGTATGCATGCCCCGCGATGCACCCCTATCACCGTCCTGACATCCTTTATGCTTCTTCCACTGTGGCATTTCAGAGGCACCAGTGCTATCGCTCGCTTTCTTTAGGCCCTGAGGCTGGAATCCAGCTAGTCTATGACGTCAACCTCTCTTTGGCAACGAGGCACACGAGCCCACGAACACCATTCAAACAATCTTTGACTCTAGAGCCCTAACATCCAGTTTCCTTTGCAATGGACGACTGGCAAGACGCCGCCTTCTCGACGCGGCACATGCACAACCGCACTGGCCGCAGTGGAAAATCCAAACATACGAGCGCATTCGACGTTCACAAGACATTCGCAAGCTATTCTGTCAAATGTCCGACATGGCAAAAGGCCCTGGGCGCAACTGGGGATACGCAGCCAGAACAAGATGCATCGCTGGAGCTGTATCGCTTGACCGAAGCCGGCGAGGGTGTCGTGGGCCAATTATCTTTGCCGGGCTTGTTACAAGCCTCAGTCATCTTAGCTGGCAGTCGTGACAGTCTTCGGCGAACGATCGCAGAGATAGAACCAGATGAATCAAACGAAGAGGAAGATGAGGAAGAGGACGAGGAAGAGAGCGAAAACACGGAGCCGGAGTCTCCCGAAAGAACTCGCTTCGAAACATTCGAAAAGAACAGCTTCCGTTCACCAAAGTTCTGGTTGCGATGGAGCGGCAGCCCTACGGAATCCGGCCACAACGCGTCCAAGGCACCCGAACATAACGAGACAGATTTGGGGTACATTGTCTTCTCTGGCAACGATTGTCGCAAGTTCAAGGGCACCATCAATTGCACAAGTCTGAAGTGGAAGAATGTAGCAATCACTGGTCACAAGCTCGTGGCACGATCATCATCCGACGCACAAGTCACTTGGGGAAAAGCTGGAGTGTTGGTTTAGAAGGCATATTCTGAACCATAGCTAGCGACTGTGTTATCCACCAAATATCAGCAAACTTATCGCCAAGGTGGTCGCGAAACCGAGTGAGCGAGAAGCGCATCGTAGCCGTACTACCTCCGTTTGCAGCACGCAATATCAGCAACCGCTAATCGTTCCTATGTCGGATCAGTACAGTATTCCTGCAGAGAATTGACCACGGGTTGAGCGCACCAGGCCAATCCAAATACGCCAACGATACCCATCGGCCATTACCAACACCTCCGGAGACCTTGGCCCAGCGCCTTCACTCACGTCAGCACAAAAGTTCTTCCCATGTCACGTTATGACTTACTTGTCTCCATTCACCTCAGTAGTACCAGACGTGGTGTAGCAGCTTAATTTGATCTTGGTACCCTTGGGATATTGACCCGGAGCCGAGCAGGTCGTCTTCGGGCACGTTCGATAGCGCAGCCCGTCGACGGCGACAGTTGCGTCAACGACGGCGCGCTTGTCCATCTCGGCCGCAGGGGCGGCCAAGGCGACCGATGAGAAAAGAGCGAGGACAACGGCCGCGAGCTTCATGATGTGCTGATTTCAATGGTTGGCAGGAGAAAATACGAACAAGTTTGGATTGATAGAAGGAATGGCATAGACGACTGCGAACGGCTCTTTATAGCCCAAATTGCGATCTCTCCCCCTCTTTCATATTTGCGGGTGCTCACATTCGTCGTGTCATCCAGTCGCACGATGCAAGAACTATTGTGGAGTCCGCATTTCTTCCTTCACTTTCTCTATTTCTGTAGTTCCCGATAGATGCAGATTCGACAACTTCGTCCAATAGATATGTCTCTCACGACTTTCATCCTCGCGTTGCTCGCATAGCTCTACATGTTGAGGCGGTCCGCGCTGCGTCTTGTTGCACGAGGGTTCAGCTTTAATTTAGTCCTCGTATTCATCCATTTGGCCCCGAACACAACTTCTACGTGCCAGACGCACTTCAACTCATCCAGACGATGTATTTATATTCTCCTTCTCACATCACTATACTCTTACATAGTAAGTCCTTACGAGTCCTAAGTGTAGACATCACTGATGACATGACCCCATCCAGCCATATGACTTCCTTGAATTCCTCCAGCCATCCGTCCCCATCTCAGTCTATCATGTAGACCAAAGACATGCGACACGTTGTGAGATTATGAGACTTTATTCACCCAGTGGCCTAGCCTAAAGTCGCACTACTCAATCTTACCAAGCCATCCCTAGCTGGCTACCTTGACGCCCTTTTCTGGACCACTTGGTTAAGGCGCACTAGGATGTGTCATTCAAACAGACTTCCCAATAACAAAATGACACCAGAGATGTCTTGTAGGCCGTGGGGATAACGTTGCGTCATTGTAAACTCAAAGCCACTAGTCTTAGACATAGCTAACTCAGGTCCCCTTTGCCTGTCCGCGCAAAGCCATTCAGTAGATGCTTTAGGAGCAGAAGATTGGTCATACTTTCTCTTCAATGCAGTATCAGACAGGTTTGATAGCTGTCCATCAATCTGAAAGGGCGTCAAGACCCACACTTCCGTTTGTTTGTTGTGCTGCCTAGTCACGTGCATGACTCAGCCTGGACCACCTGCAGCAACTGACAACTCGAACGCGCGCTATAACCTCTGTTTCTTTCCTCTTAACGTCTCCTGTCACTCTCTTGACGGAACCGAACCTCGCGACCGCAACCTCGCAGCACCTCGTCGTCATGACGCAGTACCAAGCTAACGCAGTTCAGTCACGCTCACTGCGACGTCGGCTCCTCAAGGACATCGCGGAGATCGAACAAGATCCGTATCCCAACGTCCGCATTCACTTCCAGGACAATGACATCACAAGAGCGTGTCTTGTTCTTACTCCGGAAGGACAGAAGCCGCTCCACCTCAAGATCCGCTTCACCGGCCAATATCCGCTGGTGGCGCCCGACGTCACGATCCAAAGCGCAATCATCCACCCAAACGTCTTCAGCGACTATGTTTGCGCCACCATGCTGAACACCGATGAAGGCTGGACGCCAGCGTACACCCTCAAGGGTATCGCTATCCAGCTGCTGAGCTTCTTCTCCAGTGATTCGCTAGAGCAAGACCATGGTAATGGCACTGTCGATCTGGCTTGGTATCGGCAGCAAGAGGCTCAAACTTTGGGAGAAGATCGCTTCAAATGCTCTCTGTGTGGATTTGGAGAAGACTCGTCACCAGTACCAGCTGGTGAAATAGAGGTCGACTCACCTGCACCAGATGTTGTCGCCCCAGCCCCGAGCCAGCATCAGGGAGGCCCCTCGGGGTTGTTTAGGCTACCAGATGAGATCCTTCTCGAGATCCTCAGCAATTCCAAGACCGTTGACGTTTTGGCCTTCGCCGACGCCATTCCCTTCATCAAGCACAAGATGAACTCCTACGACTT